GCCTTAAATTATTGTTTTACCCATGGGTCTTTGAGGGTCTCATGCTCAGCTCAGGGGTCAGCCAAAAATTTGAAGGGAGTTAATATCTAGGTTTTTTCTACCTGTCCCACCCAAACACCCTCTCTTTCAGATTTTTCTCCGTCAATTTCTTGCTGTTCTGGCAGACTCGCAGTCTGTTCTCTGCCTTCATAGGCCAATAAGACTGAGACTTTTGTCTCGCTTTCTAGCTGTCCTGTATTGCATAGAGAAGGCCCTCAAGGAAAAAGCCATTCAAACATGAGTTTCTAGAGTGATTCTCTTTTTTCCAAGAGTCAGTTTTCCCCGAGCTTCTGCCTGCTGTTGGTCAATCCCCAATGCCTTCATATCTTTTCCCTTCTTCCACCATGGTGGACAGGGTATAATTATCTGATTTCAGCTCGTCTGCCATCACTAGAACTAGAATTCACCTCATAACGAACATAAAACTTGAAAGAGAAATATATCTTTGTTTCTATTATCACTGAGATATTTTTTTAATCACAGGATTATTCCTGTGGCTATGTATTCTGACTAATACATAGCTATTAATTTGGATAGAAGCCATCTCTGTGAACTTTGAAGTGGGCTGTTAATAGTGTCCCTTTCTTCCATTCAATCTACCCATTATATAACCTTAAGATTAGTGGCCATGAGCGCGTGCCACTGCACTCCAACCTGGGCAACAGAGTGAGACTGCAACTCAAAAAAAAAAAGATTAATGTTTATAAAACATTGTTCTGGATCTCACATTTTATATGCAACAGTCTTCAGTGAGATCCCATTGCCTGCTGCATAAAAATCTGGGTTCCTTAGCTTGTCATTCAAGACTTTCATTGTCTGGCCCCCAACGTTCTAGTTGCCTGCTCTGTGTTAGCATTGTAGTAAAGACTCATTTACCCCCAAAAGCCTAAATATTCTGGATTTAGCTATCTTACCACTAGTAGAGCATAGTGTTTTAAAAGAACATGACTGAAAGTTTTTTAAACCTTTTAGATGTATTCTCTTATTTTTTATATTTATTTTTGTTCTCATATGACTTAAGGGATGAGACACGTTACATATTTTTGTAGGTGCAGTTTAAATCCTTAATGTTTACACAACTAAAAATATAAATGACAAAATTTTCTGAAAACTCTTATGACTCGTCTTCAACAGTCCTTTACAACTTCCTATCCTGTTAGTGGAAGATGAAATGTTGTACTGGAAGAGAATCATTCTGCAGTTGATATAGTAACAGATTTTTAAAGGGTATTTATTTTTTTAAATCCTTATAGAACAATCTCAGCTTTTGGAAGTCTCTGTTTTTGAAGACCCAGAAAAGAAAATTTTTCAGCGTGTGCATAAGACAGTGGCCATTTTGTAATGCATTTTTGTATAAATCATGCAATCTAAAAGTGTCAGTTGGGCCGCACACGGTGGCTCATGCCTATAATCCCAGCACTTTGGGAGGCCAAGGCGAAAGAATTGCCTGGGCCCACAGGTGCGAGACTAACCTGGGCAATTTAGCAAGTTCTCATCTCTACAATAAATCCAAAAATTAGCCAGCCATGATGGTGCTTGCCTGTAGTTCCAGCTACTGGGAAGGCTGAGGTGAGAAGATTGCCTGAGCCCTGCAGGTCAAGGCTGCAGTGGCTGGACAACAGAGTGAGACTCCAACTCAATAATAATAATAATAATAATAATAATAATAGTACTCTAGTAAGGCCTTAAAATTATATTTTTAAAGTGGGAACCTATTCTCTAAGATACTGCACAGTGCCATGAAATGTTATGCTAATCAGTCACCATCTTTACTGTGGATATTGATTGCCTTTGTATAATTATCTCCACGCACCTATATTCATTAAGAGCCTTCCATTTTTAAATAAGGCACATATTATAATGGTTGGGTTTCACTTCTTCACTTTGATAATATTTCCCTTTTCTATTACTGTTGTTTTATTGCTATTATTATTACTAAGATTTACCATAATGTTACAGAGAATATGCTCTAGCATAAATTATTTTAATTGCATTAAGCAATGTACATTATTTTTCTTGAATGTTTACTATAATTTACTTGGTAATTCTCAACCAAGGGAATGCAATGATACTAGTCATTAGTGGAGCTCCCTTTCTTCTTTGCATATTTCAGTGACCCATGACTGAGACTTGTCTTTCCAGTCTATGTTCACCCATTGTATGATTTCAAATCCTGTCCTGTCTTAAAATAACATCCATAAGCTGGTTATATCTTTAGCCCAGCCCCCTTCCTAACTCCAGACCTGCCTATCCAACTGTCGACACCTCCACTTGGATACTTCCCAGGCTTTTCTGACTTACTGCGCCCAAGACTGGGCTGTGGTAATTCCCATAAACCACAGGCTCCTACTGTCTTCCCCTTTTTAAATTAACAGCAGTTCCATTTTTCTAGTTGTTCAACACAAAATTTTTAATGCCTCCTTAACACCCCTTTCCTCTAGTCTGTCAGCGAATTCTATCAGCTCTACCTTCAGAATACGAGGGAGGACCCCCCCCAAAAAAAACCCTGGAATTATCTTTTGGCCCCTTATAGTATAGGCTAGAAACCCACTGGCATCAGTGTACCAGCGAGCGTTGTTGTGAGAGGCTGCATTTGGCTTCAGTGAATTTTTTTTGGGGGGGGAGATTCTTTCAACACGTTTGCCCATTTTATGATGAATAATTTACAAGTGCACCTGCCCACACCACGCTGAGTGTTCAACAGTTTTTGACCAAAAACAGAATGACCTCCATGCCCCACTCTCCCTATTCAACTGATCTCCCTCTCAGCGACTTTTTTTGTTCCCCTGAATGAAAAAAGTCCTCAAAGGGGAACGTTTTGCCAATGCGGAAGAGGTGAAACAAAAAACGGCAGAAGCACTAAAAAACATCCAAATGAGCCAGGCTCAGTGGCTCAGCCTGTAATCCTGCGCTTTGGGAGACTAAGGTGAGTGGATTGCCTGAGACCGCGGGTTCGAGGCCTGCCTGGGCAACCTGGCGAGACCTTATGTCTAGAATAAATCAAAAAAATTAGCCGGGCGTGGTAGCTCGTGCCTGTAGTTCCAGCTACTTGGAAGGCTGAGGCAGAAGGATCGCCGGAGCCCAGCAGGTCAAGGCTGTGGTGGCCGGGAGCGGCCACTGCACTCCAGTCTGAGCGACAGAGTGAGACTCCAACTCAAAAAAAATAAATAAATACATAAAAATGAATGGATTCAAAAACTGTTTTGAGCAGTGAAAAAGCATCTCAATAGGTTTATTGCATCAAGTAGAGGGTACTTTGAAGGTGACCGAAGTTTAAACATGTGAGAATAAATACACAATTTTTTATAAATAAGTTCTGGATTTTTGGGGTCTCCACTTGTACATCTAGAATCTAACTGCTTCTCTCCACTGTCACTGCTACCACACTGATCCAACCCACTTTCACTCCTCCCCTAGATTAGAATAATCTCCTTCTCTGTAGTCTCCCTGCTTTTGTTCTTAGCTTGCTAAATCAGTTTTCACCACAGGCAGCCAGAGTGATGCTGTGAAATGTAAATCGCATCAAGTGACTTCGCTGAAAGCCCTCCAGTCTAGTGGCTTCCCGGCTTGGAGTAAGGCCAAAATCTTGAATATGGCCTCCAAAGTCTTAAGCGATCTGGCTCACATTAGCCCTGTATCCTTGTCTTTTCTTACTCTCTACTCCTTTTCTGCGGACTCACCCTGGCATCCTTGCTGCTCCTAAAACATGCTAAGTATTCCTCCGCATCCTTTCCCCTCTTTCATTTGTTTTTCCCTCTGCCTGATATATCACCCCTCCCCTGAGATATCTACATAGTTAGCTTGAAGAATCTTTAGACCTTTATTTAAAATCACCTTCCCATGAGGCCATCCTTGTGCCCTTTAAAATTTCAATCCCACCTTCACATGTTATATACTCTTCCCTTCATTTTTTCTCCCTCATACCTATTACTATCTAACATTTTGTACGTTTTATCCAATTACCTTGGCTATTGTCTGTCTCCCCCAAATTGAATGAAAGTGAAGAGCAAAGCCTTTTGTCTTGTCTGGTTCATTGCTGTATCCCTAGTGCTTTTAATAGTGCCTATCACCTAGTGGATGTTCAGTAAATATTTTAAGATAAGTACTAATAGAGCTATGTTGCAATTTCACGTTTTGCCGGTAGATGCCACTCTCTAAAACTGTGCCTATCTACACCTGAATTGATTTAAGTTCCAGATTGGTTTGCAGGATGAAATAGTTAAGCATTTCTTTTGTTTGTTTGTTTGTTTGTTTTTTGAGTTGGAGTCTCACTCTGTCGCCCAGACTGGAGTGCGGTGGCCGGGAGCGGCCACTGCAGCCTCGACCTGCTGGGCTCCAGCGATCCTTCCACCTCAGCCTTCCAAGTAGCTGGAACTACAGGCACGCACTACCACGCCCGGCTAATTTTTTGATTTATTGTAGAGATGAGGTCTTGCTAAGTTGCCCGGGCAGGTCTCGAACCCATGGATTTAGGCAATCCACTCACCTCAGCCTCCCAAGGCGCGGGATTACAGGCTGAGCCACTAAACCTGGCTAGTTAAGCATTTCTAATTGTGTAATTTAAAAGTCCTCCCAGCGAAATCAAATGTGTAAGTGGTGGGTAGGCATCCACCATCAGCTTAAGCAGTTGTAGTAGGGCTTTTATTTAGACTGATGCTATTATGACATCTGCAGGAAATATGCACCATTGCCTGGACCTGTGCAGCTATCAAAAAATTCAAGCAATGGAGAAATATAACTCTCTACTCATATGTAAACATGTTTGGAAATAAATGTAGTGTTATCATTTGCAATCTGAAGTATCAGCCACATTAAGCTGATCATCTCCTTATCTATCTTATGCACAAGTTATGTTTTCTTTCTACTTTTTTGAAGAAGAGATCTCAAGGGAGGAAGAATATGCATATTAGTATTTCATGCTAGTCTTTATTTTAACAATTGTTTTGTATTATTTTAATCAGGGCAACACAACTATTTATGTGCTGGAAGAAATGATTGCATCATTGATAAGATTCGACGAAAGAATTGTCCTGCCTGCAGACTTCAGAAATGTCTTCAAGCTGGAATGAATTTAGGAGGTAAAGTTTTATATTTTTAGTTTAATACAAATTATTAATATTTAATATAATATCATAATATCATTGTGATATAATTACTCCCAAAATTAAAGATGAAGCTACTGTGGGACAAAGGTTTCTAAAAATCTAATGAGTTATATTTTTATGCAAAAATATTGTAGGAGAAAAGTATTTCTTAGCTGGAGTTAAAAAGAGGTGTGTTATGTGGCTATAGTCCTAGTAAATTTTTCAAGCCTGAGTTGCTGAGTTTTAAGAATGCACACAAAGCCAAAACCAAAATGAATGGCTTTTAAAACCATAACTAAAAGTTTTTATTGCCATGTCTGTTTAGAAATTAGACCTATATGTGATAACATTACCGCATAGGACTACATGCCTAACTCTAGGGGTAAATATAATAAAGGAATATCTGTATGTTAAAAAGAAAAAAAACCATTTAAAATGTTTTAGAGAGACAGAGGGTAAAAGACAAGAAGCAAATGCAAAAGTATACCGCATCCATGGATAAAAAAATTAAACAAATGCAACTTCATTCTTCTTTAGCATCCTAAAGGCATAAGTTTTCCTTAAGTTAATTTGTAAATATTATGCAGTCCTAAGAAAAAAATATCAATTGATTAGTCTAAGTTCCTAAAGAACAGCCAGAAAAATTCTGGAAAAGACAGGTAATGAGGGAAACTAGCCGTAACAAAGAGGAAAACATATTTGCTTATAGATTTCCGACAGATCAACAGGAAGTCAAGAAATAGATCCAAATCATATGGGGATTTTGCACATAATAAAACTAGTATTTCAGATTATTGGTGGAAAGGACAAATTTTTTTAATCCAAAGTATTGTGACAACTGAATAACTATCTGGAAAACAAGATAGTTGAATGCAGACTCTTACTATACACCAAAATAGATGCTGGTGCTTAAAAGATTTAAACTGTGAAAAGTAACCACAGAAGTACTAAAAGAAAACATGAATTTAAAAAAATATCTTCCAAGCAGAGGTGACCCTTCTAAATCCTATCCATGGACTCCACATCTCTAGATTCAACCAACTGTGAGTTGAAAACATTGAGAGTGGGGGAGCACAATAAAAAACAGCAATACAACAATAAAAATAATACAAATAAAAATACAATATGACAACTATTTATATAACATTTATATCAGGTATTATAAGTAATCTGATAATATTCATTTATTTATTTTTATTTTTTTGGAGTTAGGGTCTCACTCTGTTGCCCAGGCTGGAGTGCAGTGGCATGATTACAGCTTGTCACAGCCTTACTTTGGGCTCAGATGATCCTTCATTCTCAGCCTCCAGAGTAACTGGGACTACAGGTGTGACCACCATAGCCAGCTAATTTTTTTAATTTTTTTTTTTTGGTAGAGATGAGGTATCACTATGTTGCCTAGGCTGGTCTTGAACTCCTGCGCTCAAGCAATTCTGTCTCAGTCTTCCAAAATGCTGGGCCACCATGCCTGGCCCTAATCTATTTAAAGTATATGGGAAGATGTGCATAGATTATGTGTAAATGCAACACCATTTTCTACAAACGACTTGAGCATCTGTGGATTTTGATGTTCATGGGGGCTCAGAGACTGGTCCTGGAGCCAAGCCCCCGCTGATAACGAGAGATGATGATATGAAATAAGCTCAGAACTTATAAAAGCAAAAAATTGACAAAATCAACATTGTTTACAAATTAAATATTATTACAAATGCAAACAATAAGAAACTAGAGAAAATACAGTAACTTATAGACAGAGGTTAATCTTTCTCATAGATAAAGAACCCCTGCAATTTCATAAGAAAACCCATCTCCTTAGAAAAACAGGTAAACAATATGAATAGAACAATCACAGGTAAATGCAACTGATTCTTGAAACATAGGAAAAGATTCTACATCTAATCATAATAATAGAAATGCAAATTTAAAATGTAATGAGATATAATTTTTTACCAGTTGACAAGGATAAAACATTTTTATGACATTGTTTGATGAGATTATAGAAATAAAGTGAAACTCACTGACGATCTCATGCATTTTAGGTGGGAGTACAAATTGGTACAACCCCTATGGAGAGCAATTTAGCTATTTCAACAAAATGTTAGAAGGCACATACCCTTTGACTCAACAGTTCTACTTGTAGGAATTTACCCTAAGTGTATTCTTGCAATGTAAATAATGACATGTGCATCAAATATTCATCGTAGTATTGTTAAATATCAGAAATACACTAAATATTCATCTGTTCAGGATTGATTAAATAAATTACAGAATACTCTACAGATATTAATAAAAATAAAGGGAGCTCTCTATATACTTTCATGGACTGAGTTCCCAAATATTATTTAGCAAAAAAAAAAAAAAAATCAGGTTGCAAAATATTTTGTATGCTATGAGTCGTCTATTTTAGAAAAAAGAACATATTGTATAGAATATTTCTGGAATGATATACAAGAAGCTAGTCTTGGTGGTTGTCTCTACAGAAAGGACTTGGGGAACTGGAAGACAAGGGTGGGAAGGAGTGTTAATTGTCACTGTATATCCTTCTGTGCTTTCAAATGTTGTATTGTCTTGCAAGCATGTGTTGTAGACATGTGTTACCTATTTTTAAAAAAGTAATTCAAAAAAATTAAACAAATGCAACTTCATTCTTCTTTGCTTCGATGAAGAAATTAACTGGCTGGCTAGTCAGGGCTAGGCAGTAAACAGAGCTGCCTACGAGCAGAGCAACTCTTAGGAGCCAAGAGGAGGGTGTGCTTGGCTGGGGACAGCTGCTAATGTGAAGACATGCTCCAAGGTGCCTTAAACAGCAACTCAGAAAGAGAGGTTCATCCTGTCATACGCTCTAGAACAAGACCACATGGGTGGGGACGCTTGTTCTACCACTCACTGACCTTGCAATCTCAGGCAGGTCACCTCTTCTCTGTGCCTCAGTTTTCTTATCTTCACCTTGTACCTCTTGGGCTATGATGAGGATTTGATGAGTAAACGTATAGTGAAAAGGAAGTGATCTACTCCACGCATATTAGTTGGCAGTAGTAGAGTTAGTGAATGTGGGGTGGGTGGCTGTGTCTCCCACAGAGTTATCTCATTTTATCCTACCAACCCTCGGAATCCCCAGGAAAGGCCTTTTGGCCCCATGTTTTAGTGATGATGGCCTCTGGTGCTCAGAGAAGTTAAGTGACTTGTCCAGGCAGTGAGGTGACAAAGCTGGATCTTGGACCTCTGGGCTCTAGGTCTGATGTTTCGAGTGCACCGCGCTGCCCCCTTGTTCTGGTATTGGAATCACTCCAGATGTGGCTCAAAACATCACTTTCTGTACCATGCAAATGAGAATCAGGAAAGATTATGAATAATAGTAATTAATAATTATTATTAATGATAATGATAATTCTTACCTCCTAGGGTGTTTTAAGGATTAACCGAGTCAATAAGCTTTAGAACAGAGTTTTTCCACCCGGCACAGTTGGCATTTTGGACCTGAAGTTCTTTGTCATAGAGGACTGTCCTGTGCACAGTAGGATGTTTCTCAGCCCTTGTCTCTACCTACTAGATGCCAGTGGAAATTCACTGTCCTCCAGTTGTGATAACTGAAAATGTTCCTAGACTTTGCCCCAGGGGACATTGAGACCCTTTTGTTTAGCAATAATAATAAGCAAGTATGTAAGTGTTGGGTATTATTTTTCTACTAGATTATGCATGCCATCAAAGAAGGAATGTTTGTCCATTTTTTATGGCTTTATCCACAGTGACTACAACAGTGCCTGGCACTAAGTTGGTGTTCACTAGCTATTATTTGAAGAGATGAATCACAGTTAGCACTTTTGAGGGCGTGCTGTGTGCTAAGCACTCTGCTAAGCCCTTATACGTGTCATCCCACTAAGCCTCACAGCAACACTATGAGATATGTACTCTCAGTATGTCCATTTTGTGAGTAAATGGAAGTACAGAGAGGCTAACGAGCTATCCCAAGGCCACAAAGCTAGGCAGTGGCAGAGCCAAAACCCAGTTATCCGTCACTGGCAGCAAAGCCCACACCCAGCATTGCTCTACTATACAGTGCAGGTCACTGTAGGTAGATGGCTAGCTGGACTAGGGAAGGCAGCCGCAGCAGCACACAGGTGTCTTATTTGCATCTACAATTGCCTGTAAGCGAGGTCTGGCATAACACACAATTCAAAATTCATATAATTTGTCACTGGTTTCTGTATATACAGGACAGGTTTTGTGGGTTTTGGAAAAAACAATTTTTTTTGCTCGATAGAGCTCACTTTGAATCTTGAGGTCATTGAAAATAGCAAGTCAAAAATGGGCAGAGGGAAAATTGATATTTATGAAAGTAATATTTTCTTTAGGCTTAAGTTGTAATTTAACTATTTCTGGTTCAGGAATTAAATAAGTAACTTTTAATAGTTGTCCAGTTGTGGTAGCATACATTGTAATTTCTTTTTCTTTTATAATTTCTTTTGAGGTCCTGTTTTTAGTTTCAATTTGGGAAAAAGAAACTCAAGCGATTTTATTATTATTTTTTTTTAAAAAAGGTAATGTGAAGTTTAACCTTTAATGTGAAACAATTTCTAAAATTAGAAAGTAAAGACTTCTTATGTTTTCTTAACAAGGAAGGGTTGTCCAGTCTTTTTTTTTTTTGAGTCAGGGTCTTACTCTGTCTCCCAGGCTTTAGAATCATGGCTCACTGCAGCCTCGACCTCCTGGGCTCGGACAATCCTTCTGCCTCAGCTGTAACTACAGGCGTGCACCACCAGGCCCGGTTAATTTTTTTATTTATTGTAGAGACGAGGTCTAGCCACCTTGCCAAAGGTGGTCTCGAACTCCTAGGCTCAGGCAGTCCTCTCATTTCTGCCTCCCTAAGTGCTGGGATTACAGGTGTGAGTTGCCATGCCCAGCCTCCTATTACTTTGGGGAGATAAGAAAGCTGACAACATAGAATACATGGAAGACCTTTCTTCTTTTAGCGCGTGGTCATGACTCCAGGAACA